TATATAAGAAATATATATAAGAAATATTTAATCATAATTATAATCGCGACGTAAAGTTAGTAGTATTTATATTAAAATAGCACACGTAAAAAAGATAAAAAAACTTACGTCATAAATGATAACTTTCCTGACATCACCACACTTCAGGCACTCGGATCGAATATCTTGCTGATATTCCAAGAGCAGTTGGACTTCGTTGTCAAAATCCTCCGGTGCGAAAAGATTCTTTATGATGACAACTCTTTCGCATTTCAGCGGTTCGCCTCGCATACGCTCCGGTCGCCAGTCGAACAATCTGTAAGCAAACAAAGTAAAAGTACAGAATGATAAGAATATTCTTATATGACAATAAAAATAGCATTTAGATTCAAATAAGCTATACAGAATTTGCGAGTTATCTTCGTGTCTTGGTTCATTGTTAAATGTCAACATATCCAGAAAATTACAGTTTATTCATCAGAATAAGAAGCAACCTGATATTAACGTTGGCATTTAACACTAGTATCGAGCAGTCTGACTATTTCTATTTTTTTATATTAAAATTATATTTTTTGTGCGAAAGATAGGATTTTGAAATATTTTTAATAATTATATCCTTTATACTCATGAAATATTTGCTTTTTTATCACTTTTCTTATTTTCATAATAATTCAATTGTTTAGTTCTTTTAATGGTATGGAACATTGGCATTTTTTTTGTTCTAGTGTTAACGATATTTCAAAACATGAAGATAAGCGCAAACCGCGTAAATTCTTTGAAGAGAATATCCGTAGAAATCTTAAAAGTATTTGGATTTTAAATTGATTGTAAATGTTTCCTCTGAGGACTCAAATCTATATATACATATATTCTTATTGATAATTACTTTATTCGAAACCATTAATAAATGGTATAAACGGTTTATCTTTGACTATCGTTCTTATTGATAAAGATATCAGTGGACTGATAGGATTCCACATCTGCCGATTCTTCGCATGATATCACGTCAGCACGCTGCTATCGTTACTGGAAGTGACGTTTCTCAAAGATTAAAGATGCCGACAAACGTCGCTGATACAGCACAAATTGGCGGCACCGAGCCGCATGGTCGAGAATAACTCGTCAAAGCTGTGAGAACAGTCGCAATGATCGATAAATCGTGGCTCACGATTCTCCTTCTTGGAATTACTTGAGAAAATGATGCCGATGGTTAGGATTATCATATCTGAATCACAAGAAAAGAGTACATATGTATACTTTTTTTAAAAAAAAGATATTACTTCGGAAGGTGGGGGATATAATTTTTATGCATTAAATGTTGGATATTTAATAAAATAAAATTTCTAAAACATGACTTTTTATTCTTATTAACATATTTTATAAATATAAAATTTTAGTAAACGACCACACAAGTTTTGAGATCTTAAAAAGAGTATATGTACTCTTAAAAGGGGTAACCCCACCGATGGGGAATGTTATGGTGCTAACGTAGATTCACGACGAGTGTCGAAAGAGTGTGTTGCTGCAAAGACTACTTCCGGTCAGCAAACGTGGGCCCGTGCGTATTCACCAATAACTGGTTTTCGCAAAGTTCAGGGCGTTGACCCTGCGCACGCGACCTACGCCGGATAACAAGAGGATGCTGCTAACGACGAAGGCGCGACAGAGATACGTCGAGATTGAGCAATGCAATGAAATATGATGACGCGAGAAAGTTAAAATCGATGTTAAAGATGAATCACACGATAAATGTCTTTGAAAATATTTTATTTGGAGCCCTATCCTATCATGACTGCAGGCTCTTGAATTATTATTATTATTCTTATTATACAACTTTAATTATTAATTATTATTACTTTCATTGTATCATTAGATATGTGCAAAAGCATCACGAATTTTAAATCAAACATGCTCGATCCTGAATCATTTAGAAATGCTCGACGTCACTTTCATCATTCGCGCGAAACAGTTACACGACACTGAAATACGCACGGGACGAAGTCAATGTCATTCAGTGCGATCGTTATACGTTTCGATTAACGGGTTAAGCCGCTGCAATCTGTCGGGAAGTGCGCCGTGCCCGTATAATTTTGGGTTGGTCTGTATGCAGACCGGCGCGGCGGACTAAATGCGGGTAATCGACGTGCGCAGCTGCCTTTGCCGGAACCGCCAACGCCAAGCAGTCTGGCGGCTGCAAACCCGGGGCCGATGGCAGTGCAATTATAAAGAGCCTTTACACACACTGCAACACGTGTTACACGAGGCATGCATCACGGAGATACACGAAGGGTTTTTCTGAATTACATGGTATCACGTATCATAAAATCACGCGTACAACGCGCTTCGTGATTCGAAGGCATCTCCTCTCGTGCTGTCTTAAACAAGCCGCTTGCGACACGCGTGCATCGCCGGTGCATAGAAACCTTAATAAGATGCACACGCGTGGCGGCGGATGCACCGTGGATGAAACGTATCTTGATCCCCCGGGGATACGCCGTCTTGCATGGACGCGAGCGAAAAGAGAGATGAATGGACCGGAGAGAAACCGAGGAGAAACGTGATCATTCCGATTTTGCAATGCGAATCACCGCGCACGAGTTATACGGAGCGTCTCGAAAGGAAGTGACATCACGCTTTCAGTCAATGAGCTCACGGGGCAAAGGAATATTTAGAAAATAAATATTTGTCTTAACGCAATCATATGGGTGTTTTAGAAATAGTTGGCCAAATTTTAGGAACATATTCCACTCATTGTGTAAGGATAAAAAAAAAAGTCATATAAATGTGGGTTCGGAAACGCTTCCTCTTTCCAAGTTATAAACAATTTTTTATTTTATACTTATACCTTTGTTTTATTTTATATTTACATCTATATTTTATCTTATACTTATATATCTATATTTTCATTACAGAAATTGCTGGAAATGATTTCCTTCCGCATCGATGCATGCTTCGCATCGATGTCGCGTGGATTGTCGAAGACGTTCCAAAATTCTCGGTATTTCGTATTTTTTCGTACGCAACAATAATATGATTTCGGAGTACTTCCACAATAGCAACAGAAGTATTATACACGAGGATCTTAAGATGTCCCCATAAATAAAAATCCAAAGGATTCAAATCAGGCCAAGCAATGGGTCCTCCTCTACAAATCCATCTATTGCTGTAATTATTATTCAGGAACTCTCGAGCAGTGAGGTTGAAATGTGCTGGAGCTCTATCATGCATGAACCACATTTGATTGCGTATCTGTAGTGGAACGTCTTTTAATACTGGAGGGAGTTGCGTTTCCAAAAATTGTCTGTAGTTGTTACCATTAAGTGTAGGAAGAAAAATCGATCCAAGAAGGAAATCTCTAATAATAGAAGTGTACAATTCATGAAACGTCAAAACGAGGCATGTCGTCCGACGTAAATACGTACAATTTAAATAAGAAATGTTTATAACTTGGAAAGAAAGCGTTTCCGAACCCATGTTTATATGACTTTTTTTCATCCTTACAATGAGTGGAATATGTTCTTAGAGTTTGGCCAACTACTTCTGAAATACCCTGTATATGTATACATATATCCAAGTGTTAACTGACATTAACCGTTTTAACGAACATTTAAGATAATTTATTCGTAAAATTTGTAGAAACTCACTTTTCCTGCATCTTCTTCTGTCGTTCCTTATCCTTTTTTTTTCTCTTCGGTTTCAACGCGGGATCATACTCGCCCTTCATTTGAAACTTCGCCCTCTGAACCGACAGTGTTTTTCCCCGGATTTGCGAACCATCTAAAATTTTCAATGCCAAATCCACCGACTCTACCTAGAACAGATATCAAATAATCGATGATAAATTGCAAATTGGTTAAAAATCATTCGAGAATCCACGAAAAGCAAATCAAAATGTTGTGCAGAAAATTTTTGCACGTCTTGTACTGAAAGTAATTAACGCAGGACGTAAAAGAGGCGGCGTTAATAGACTGCAGTTCCTAGTTATTGTGTCAAAGTAATGAAGGTACTATTGTTATCTGACAATGTGTTCGCGATAAAATTGATGATAAATCCATAGCAAAAATTGACGATCAATTTAAATACGTTTTATAAGCCGGCTACGCCCACGACAATCACTGAGTTTACATCGACAAAATAAATTCTAACTTACATGTAAAAGGCTCGACCATGGATTTATGAAATGGGCGTATTCTCGATTCAGTAGCTATTTAATTAAATGAATCTGTCCTTTTATTGCGTAACCCAATTTTCCCAACAAAATTTGTTAATTTAAATTTTCTTGTTTATCGAGGAAATCGTCGAATATAAATTACATTGTGAAACATATCATGAAATTTAGTGTACAAATGTACTTTTAAGTTATACTAGTAAATTAAATTTAATGTATCTATAATTGAAAAGTATATATTAGTGTACTTTTTCATAAAATTTTATGTGAATGTGAATGGAATTTAATGTTCATTTAATGTTTTTAATGTACCTGCTCGAAATTTGCTTCCGTTACATATGTTCCGTTAATGGTAAATATACTTTTTTCAACAGTATGGAGGGGGGGGGGAGAGAGAGAGAGAGAGAGAGAGAGAGAGAGAGAGAGAGAAAGAGAGCACGTAAAATACTTAAGGATATTTCATACATATTTTCAAAATGATAATAAAATTATGAAAAAATTACAGATTATTCTAAATCACGTTTAAAAATAATATGACAAATTTGGTGACGATTAGTAAACCTACTATCTGGATTTATACTATCCGGTTTACTATCTCGATTTAATACATAGTATTTTGTTAATCTGTGCTTTTAATAAAAATATATTAAAAAATGTGATAATGTATTATAAAATGTATTATAAAATAAATGATAAAAATCTCAATTTTTTTAAATATAAGTCCATTATGTATTCAAGATTATTTACGTAGAGTTACATTACAATGCATGAATTAGTTATCCAGTAAATAAAGAAAATATTTATTTGTTCTATATCTTTGTAACTAATCAATGAATAAAAATGAAACTTTGCATAAATTATTTTGAAATATTTAAAGTACTTATAAAAAAAATGTAAATTTTTTATCATTTTTTAAATTTTAATTTTCAACCATAAAAATAATAATACATAAAATAAATAAACCACAAAAATGTGTTATTAAATAAAAATGTCTTATTCACACAACTTTCATATGTATATCGTTTTTTTGAAATGTAAATATTAAACATACTTTCAAATTTAATTTTCTTTGCAGGGATTGTACGTCTAATATAATACATCTTTAACATTTGAAGGCACTTTTAATAGGAACTTTCTAAGTTGTATTACGCGAAAAAGAAAAATATTTAACAGAACTTTATTAGCAGCATATATAAAAGAGGTAAAAAAAAACTATGACTCTAAAGAGATCAGAAGATTAAAAGTAAGCTAAAATTAAACGTAAGTTCCAAACCTAAGCCGGCAACTACGGATTACATCGTCAAAACTAAACTATATTTCTTAATGGCTTCAAAGAAATCCTATGGAACTTTCGTATATGGACAAGTCATAAAAACGTAAATAACTTATCGTTTCAATACACATTTGTGGAGACTAATACACACACATATATATATAGATCATCAACTGTATTCGCAAACATTCTAGGAATTATTTTGAGCTGTTACACCATCGTTTGCGTTTTGAACATTAGATGTGTCAAAAAGCGTATAATATATGTATCAGAAATAGCGAAACCATTTCAGAGCAGTAATGGTATCACGCTTATTTACAAAACCCATAAAACCTAAGCAGCTTAGCGCCATTTTAACCGTGACTTCATGCCATTCATAGATACTATGAATAGGAAATAAGGATTTGCCAGTGTCTCTCTTTTATCGAAAAAAGATACGACAAATAAGAGCAATGCTTCTTTTATATAAGAACGGAAATTCTTAGGGAAAAAATGCTTGATGACATCCGGCGAGATAAAATTCTGCCAGCCTTGAATTCGGTGGTTGAATATCTCGAGACAGCCTGCATAATGCAGCAACTGGTCCTTGTTTCATATGCATTTGGCGTGATAATGCGCGATGAGGCAAACGTGACTAGAATGTTGACTATCTAAATATGCACACAGAGCGATGTCACGACGAAGAATGACGTAACGATCTCCGAAACAAGTCTCCCTTGTAAAGATGACCTAAAAAATAGCTTCCCTACTACACGCTCGATATCTTTAAGATCGAGAAATCGAGCGGAGGCTATTCCGGGAAGTATTCAAAGGCGATCGTAATGATTTACCGTCGCGCGTCGACCCACTTAGGCGAAATTCTTAGGTCCAAAATGATCCCCGCCGCGCGTCTCCTTCTACTCTACTATTTCAACATATCTATCAATCGTTGAAAATAAGAAATAATTTTGACCATTTGTAAAATTGCTACAAATCGAGAGTTTATGGCTAATTTCATAGCAATACCATGATATAAGAAGATGTATCATTCCCGAGGATGCGCACTAAGAGAACGAATTTGAGGCCAAAATTTGATTGGTTGTTTCCAGTATTATTATCGCCATTATGCGCAATGATACATCTTGCATTCTTACATGTGCAATACAAGCTTCGCGAAGAAAATTACGTAGAAAAAAAACACAACAGTTACAATTTTGGTATTTGTATTCATCATTCATATAAGAGTTCTAGACTCAAGGATATCTATACAAGAATCACGTAAACACACCTTAAGAACCTGCGGACATAAAGGGTTCTCGCCGTTCCTTTCATGCATCATCCTGTAACACCCACGCGCCAGACAACTCCAAGGTTCCATTCTTTTTCTTTTAACACGTCTCGCTTTCGCTTAGCCCTTAGCTGGTGGGACGCGAGCGGAAAGCGACGTGAACTGTTGACGTCATCATCTCCGCACAGGGCTTGCAAAAGTAATTTAAACGGGGAGATCCCCTTTCTCAATTCCTATCGCATGATCTGTCTCACGTCACGAAACCAGTATTATTTCCCGCTGCAACCCGTTTCCTGCGTGGCTCTGATACACAGACAAGGCATTTACGCGATGTCAAGGAAGTACAAATCGTGCAATTCGTAATAATTATTTTCCTCTATTAAGGTCAACTTCTCGGAAATACTTAACTTAAACGAGCATTTTGCTAAACAAGATTAAGGAGGAGAAAGCACAGCTATCCGTACGTCGACTAGGCAACACGTGAAATGGTAATCTGTATGGTCGACATGTAGACATAGATCATCGTCGTTCGCGCGTAAACGCCCAGCAGTGATTAAAATGCCGGTTCTGTGGGTACGATTCCAGTCTTTCCAGATCCGTAACTTGGCCGTGGCAGCTACCAATGGGATTCGACTTATTGTCAGGCTCCTCGACCACCCAGACACAGCTCCCGCGGTCATCTCGCAACGCGGCCTATGTTAGATCACCACAATTATAGTATACCCTCGCATCCAGTTCACGTTAAATTACACGTGTTCTCTTCCAGTCGATGTGTACGCGCGTAACACATGTTACAATCATCAGTGACGCAGTCACGCGTCTTGGGGAAAATATTCTCACATCTTACAGGCAAGACATTCAAATTCATCGTTGATCTTCAACAAACACTGTTAACACGTTTGCACAGACAGTGTGCATAAATGTTGCAATAAAAGCGTACGTTCATTAAGGCTTTTCGCTTTTCACGACTGTCCATCTATACGTGCTAATGAGCTTTCTAGTTTCCCCTCCGTGTAGTCACTAGCTAACGTACTAAGAATACATAAATTAGACAATTACGTGACTGCTCGCGAGTGTGCTTCCCGATAAGATAAGTTTCTCCGAATATAAACGTCGTGATGTGATTTTCTTGCATGACTAATGCAACGCGTAACTGATTAACTGATGTAATTGCATTTAATATATCGATTTAAAAATTCATAGAGATAATTTAATGAAGAACATCAAGCTGTATCATAGTACGAGAGATGCTTAATAGATGCAAAACGCTACGTATGTATAGAAGATAGCATCTGAAATATCCATTTATCTGCATATAACGTTGATTAATGGCGAACGACAAGATTTCGAGGCGCCATGGATCATCGTTATTGTGAGATGTCGTGTATCTAACATGCTTCGGAACGAACACTGACGTTCCCTCTAAGCAACTATAGTTAGCCGACGTCTATTATCATTACTGTACTGGCGCCCGGCCAAATTTCTCGCCGAGATGCATTAAATACCGTGGCTACGCACGCGACGTGACAATTCATTAAAACTTTTAAGAACATGATTTGAAAAAAATTTTTTTTTCAAAAATTTTTTTCTTAAATAAGGAAGAAATGTCCTCGTCGATTATCTTTCCTTGCAACTCTTGGCTCCGTTAACGACACGTACTTCACAGTTCTACATAATTCGCATTCCAATAACCGCCGCAACATCCGTGAGTAAAGAGACAGGTTGAAGTGCAAGGCTGAGGAACGCATTGAAGAAGATTCACTCGAGACAGGTGGAAAGAAGCTGGCGACGGAAGAAGATCATTTGAAATTCCGTTTTGACTCGAGCGTAAAAATCTAATGCATACATAGCAATATCTCATTGCTTTCTTAACTCATGATGTTATTTTTGCTATTTTTAGACGCAAAAGGGAACGAGGGCTAAATGATAAGACGTGTTGACGCGTTGAATTAAACGCGGCGTGAAGTGTACGACGAGAACGGGTACATTACACGAAACGCTGACTCAACTAAAGGATCATACTGTATTATCATTAAAATGATTGCATGGTTGGTGCTACGCCTACGCTATTGACATTTAAGATCGTGGTTGTCCCACTAATTT